TTTACCACCGCCGCAACAACCGACTGTTTACAGTCATCCCGAAGCTCGAGGGCCATCTAGCTTCTATAGGGGACCATGTCCTGTGCTACCTATAATCGTAATCTAAAAACTCATGCAATATATCTTAATACCATATTTTATATATTTTCTTAATATTATATATATATATATATATCCATATTTTAATATTATATATATCCACAGGTAAATCCATTGAATAATCAGCCAGTAGACTCAATGTCTTCGTTAATGTTACCATCGATACATCAACCAATACATCAACATGTACATCATCATATGTATCACTATGATCCACATCAACGGCCGTTGCAACGCATGCATCACTTTCACATTAGTTTCCATCCCCATATGGTTTGTTTTTTCTTTATATTGTTAAGTATGTTACACTAACTTTTCAAACATACTGTGTTTCATATTATTTTAACACATATAGCAAGGATCTGGAGCACACCAGATAGGTTTACCGTTTGCACCGGGTATGTCAGAATTTGTATTACAAGGAGCACGTCATATGTCACGACTGGACAATTATATGCGCATTGTTGATTTGCGACGTATGGCTCATATAAGTTGTGGGGCTACACAAGAGTCCATTGAAAGCCATACATTCCCTCATAAATATAAACGGGTAAAGATTGAAATTTAAATAAAGTCTTTTGATACCATTATATCTGCGTTATCTAAGCAATTTATTGCAATACGTTATACATCTATTTATAGGTAAAAAAAGTAGAAAATGGCGAAGATGCTATTGAGAAGTGTACAATATGTTTATCTGAATTTGAAGATTGCGAAAGTGTCAGGTAAGAATTTTAGTATCAACTTTTTTGTATTTTTTATATTTTTTCGAATAAGAAAACATTATAAATTATAACTTATTTTGTATTTTTTATTTAGGAGGCTTCCATGTATGCATTTATTTCATATTGACTGCGTTGATCGTTGGTTATGCACTAATAAACGTTGTCCTATATGTCGAGTGGATATCGAAACATTTCTCCATAAAGAATTTACTACTTCGGAACAATAGTTTAAGGTTTCCCATATCTGCCTCTTTTTGAAATGTAATCAGGTAACATTTGTATATGATATCAAATATTTCAAGATGGTCCATCCAGGGAGAATGTACTGGGTTACCACTACTATTATGAAATAATAATGTAAAAACAATATGGATAATCAAAATAACAAAGTATCAACTAAGTTCCTCAAGAAGACGAGAAGAATTGTCATTGTTCAATTTTAATACTTCTATGGTTTATTTTATGCGTTTTGATGATAAATATTAAATTGTTTTATCAAATACTAATAATTTATTAATATTTTATTTTTTATTAATGTGTCATTTTTTATAAATACATAAAACAAAATATATAAAAGATTCTACATTTTTTATATAATTTTTGGAGATATATTACATATGTTAAAATATGTAATATTTTAAAAATATATACACAGAACAACCTGATTCAATTCTATATTGATTAACTTCTGGTATACAAGATAGTATATACATACATATAAAATATTATATATATGTTCAGTATATTTGAACTTATGAGAATGTATTGGAATTTCTATTGTAAATATTTCATTGATTGTATGTAAATTTTTGTAATGCTTGTATTAAAATTGTGATCTTAACAAAATTCTAGTATTACATGTTATGCTAGCGATAATTCGAAGAGTAATTTTGTTCTTTATATTATACATATGTATTAGGCCTTATTTTTATTCTGAATAATATTAATATTGATCTGTAAATGTTGGAAAGATATTAATTTCTATTTGTTGCAGATTGCTATCGATTATTCTCCAAGTGAGAATATGGTTAGTGCATTTCTCAAATTATTTTATATTATTATATCTACTAATACATTATGTTACTTCTTTTTCTTTATAGACGTTATTCTAATTGAATGCAACATTAATTTAAATAATATTGAAAATATTATAATATGACAGGCTTCGATTAAAATTCAATTATAAATTTATTCTGAATTACTTCGATTACTATTATCGATGCTAAGCCAAAGACTTAGCTTAAGTTATAAGCGTAAACGAATATCTGATCTATAGAATGATTAAGCAATTTTAAATTAAAGATAATCGCCATTGCACCTATGAAAACTACGAAAAAAGTCACTGTGTCGTCAGGCCTTATATATATTGTCACTCTTGTATATATGTTTTATTACATAATAGAATCAAAATATATATAATACTACTGTTCTATAATTATAACGATTCGTGGTAAAGATTTTTACCATATTAGTACCTTTACGCATATACACACATAGTATTCAAGTTAATACTATGACGTGAATAATTTTATTTTGTTAAAATGTACGATAAAAAATATATATAATAGGTACAAACGTAAAAATAAACATATAATATCATACTTACAGAATTAACCATTGCTGGTTTGATATTAAAAGAAATGAATTACGAAGAGGGAAGTATTATATATTATTATCAAAGATTTTTATGAAATCCAAGTTCGGTAAAGATCTACATTTCTGCTATAGATTATAAATTTTATCATCTGAACATATAATAATAATCTTGTATAATTATTTTATTTTTATGGACGGTTGTTATTGGGGAAACATTTTTACACTGCCATATATCAGTATTGATATACTATCATGATTCAGTTATTATGGAACATGGGGGAGTGTCTCTTTAACGTTTTATTTTATACAACAAATTTTAATGGTTGTTTAATCGAGTATATTAGTAAAAGTTTTAACTATTAAATTAATATTTCAAAGATGATATGTAATGCATCCTGTTTCAAGGATCGTGAGAACAGAGGAAAAGATATATTTGCCATATACAATCAAGTAGTTAGATATAATTCGTCTCGACTTCTTATTTTACGAAATAAGAGTAAATGAATATATACATATATGTACCTCTATATTAATTATAATTACAAGATGTATGTGTATATAATTATATATATATATATATATATCGAAAAATAATTTTATATACTTTCGTATAAATAATAAGAATTTATACTGTGTATATAATAAAATAGGAATGATAATGCAAAATATTGATTTATTGTTGCAACGCTAGAGTAAATGTTATACAAAATACATGACTCTTAAAAAATTATATTGTTTTGTTTAATTAAAACCACAGAAAATTGCTTAGTGAATTAACTATATTAAATAATACAATAGAGACTCGCGTGATAAAAAGTATTCTTGAATAATGTATGTATATCCACGTGTATTATTATTGTGTACATAAGATTATTATATAGATGCGAGATCAGATTGATCACCGCTCTTCTGTAACCGATAAATTACCACGTACACGGAATCGTACGTAGGTTATCACAAAAGATACATGAAATCATTAAAATGTTATTATGCGTCATATGGGTAATTCATGCGTCATATGGGTAATACGTAAATACGAACTGCGTCTCAAGGTCGTTTCTGAAGCGTAAAATCCCAGAAAGTCAGGTTCGCATTGGCCGAACTATGGTAGTACCGAGAAAGTAATATTGTGGAAAAAGACTTATTTTTTACGATAATTACTGATTTTACGATAATCTACTAGTGGCGATGTAATTTACTTTCATGATTCATGTCAAGTATCTGAAATTTATTATAAATATATTTAACCTTTGTATTTGTAGATTTATTTCTCCGATAAAGAGACTGTAGTCTTTCGTTCTAATTAGTAATTTTATTTTTATCCAGCATACAGCAATATGTCTACAATATTTTGCATATTTTCCAAATGTTTCTTAATTGTTATGTTTATAGTACGTAACATGTTTATTATAGTTAGTAGATTTTTTTCTTACTATCGCCTATTGATTCAAGACTTATTAATGAAAATTTCATTATTATTCTTATCATTTTACTATTTCTTTAGGAATTTGATACACTGTAAATTACATATAAGTTTACTATATTTTTCTATACAAAAAATGTGGAATTAATCATTTTTTTTACTATCAGTATAATCATCGAATACGCGGAATTACACGTTATATAATAACTAATATATTATACATTTCAATTCTGCAATTCTTTTTTAGCTTAATCACATTTTTCAACAAAAATCTGGTTTGCCTGAATATCTAAATGTTAAACTTACTTGAGATATGTATTATAGTCACTCTGATAATTACAATGGAAAATATGTTTAATTAGTTATGTCATACTTCTTCAAAATAACGTCTATAACGTAAGCAAAAAGAATTTTTATAGAATTGCTTATTGCAATTCTTTCTTCTCCGATTATGAGAATTTCTCTGATTAGTAAAACATACAAATTTACAATTAAGAAACTATATTGAATTTATACAAGTATTACGATGCAGCATAAAAATGATGTTACATTAAAATCCAGATCTTGTTGATAATTTTTTTGAAGCAATAAAGTTGATTTTATCAAGAAATAAATAAAAAAAAATTTATAATAATTTGTTTTATAATTTTAATAAAATATTTTTGTATTAAATCTCTCATATTTTTTTGTTTATTTAAAATAAGTAATTTTTATTTCTTATAGAAACATATACTTACTATTTTAATTTGTCATTATACTTACAATGTTTGAAAGCTAGATATATTATATTTTTTCTCTTTTTCTCACATGTATAAACGATACAATAAATTACATTTGGATAAAAATAGATTAATATTTATACGGATACAAAAAGTGAAGAGTATATTATATTATTTCAACCTTTAATATTAAAATACTATTTATATTTAACGATTTTTTCTTGACTAATCGGCATGCTAATATTACACACATAACAATATATTCTGGTTTTTGGATAACTTGTATGATTATATTATATTTGCATGAGTAAATATGCAGAAGAATATTTCGTCTTAACACGCATACAATTAAATCCCAGTCTATGAGGACTGTTGACTGTACTTCTCCGTTCATTATAAAACGAATGCGTCAGGGAGAAGCAATCCAGTAGTCCGTGAACGGTGATCGTTGTCAGGACTTTCGTTAATCTATTGATCGCCGATGTCTTCCTGAGGCTTCTTTTTTGTAATAAAAAGATTCCCGTTCGTGTGTGAGTACGCGTAGCAAAATAATGTAATAACTATTTAGTGAGTAATAATAAAGTTAATTTACTTCAAAAAAAAAAAAATCAAGACTCATGCTTATTAATTCCGATGAAAATTTACAATATTGTAGTTTTAGAATCCTTTATCAGTTATTAACACAATTACATTAGTATTTATTACATTAGTGAATAAATAATATTTATTAATTTTTTTATTGCCACAAGTGGAGACTGTCTTTAATGTCTTTATGTTTATGCATCATCGAGACATCTAACGATTGAAATTAAATCAGTTTCAAAATCTTTTAATTTCGATTCTGACAGTGCTATTATGAATTATGAGGTGTTGTGAGAGTGTATGTTAAAATTTGCGAAAAATTGTAGTAATCTTACGAAAGTTGACGGCGTCTACTAGGTACATAAAAGAAGCTAAGTTGGAATTATGTAGAGATAGTTTCTAATGTGATAATATAATGTGTTCAGTAAATGACTGACATAAAACTTCTATTGTAAAAAAAAGAAAAAATTACACACACACACACACACACACACAACATATATGTATATACATATATACATATATTATACATATATATACTACTACACAATCAATACTATAATAATTTTGTATTAATAAGTCGTTTGCTGTTATTAATTATTATATTGACAGCTTTGAAATATACTTTCCATTAATTTCACAGCATATAGTCTGTTTAATAACAGCAAGATTTTGGGTTTTTATTTAACTTTTATTTAAGGATCGTTACTTCAAAAATTTTTGATGTAAAATTTCTTAAGTGATTTTGAATGAGCAAGTACACTGAAAAAAGTCTAATAATAGCTATTACTAAATGTATGGTGAAATAATGTCAATTAAATGCTTGGTTAATATAGCAAAAAATATAACAAAATATAACAAATTAATATAACAAAATATATCAAAGTAACGTGGCGCAATCAAGCCTTAGGATACTTTTCATTTTATGATATAAGTAGATACAAGAACAACATTTTACCTTTTTTGACATTCAATGAAATATGAAGATAGAACAACATTTACATCGACTGAAAAAAACATTTAGTTATCCGACTTTTATTAGAGAACAACAATATATGATGAGTGTCAGGTACGCTAAAAGATTCGAAGTTTTTCTTTACACACTCGAAAGAACTTAAAACATCGTAGAAAGCGATTGCAAAAAGTAGATACAAGATATAAATAAGTCGAAAAACTGGTAAGACAACAAATAGCGTTAACCAAATAATCCGTTAGATCGTGGTAAGATATGAAAGATATATTGAAAGTTATGTTGATTAGTCTCTTATTAAACAGACAGTATAATCGCTACACTTAAATCTAACATATAAATTTTTATATTGCTGCAATTATTATATTTTTAATGTATCTTTTATAATCACACATTCATTTTCGCTGAAAATTTTTTTCTGATTGAAATTAATTATTTTTTGTTTCTAGAAAAAAACGATATATTTTAAATCGAAATTTATTTAGACTTGTTCCATATCATGCTCTATTTCTATAATATATAATATATATTTGACAGTCATATCTAACATTTATTTATTTATAGTTAACTTTTATCTTCACTCTACTGAAGAATTTTTTAGTCGTTTTGATAGTTTGTTTTGGATTCATTAGAAGAGAAATTAAAAAATTCTTAATGTATTATATTTAAAAAATATATAATTTAAAATATATTACGTTTTTGGATAGTAAAAGTTCTACATAAACTTTTTAAATTTAAATGTGATTTTTCAAAATTATGGTCAAAATTTATTTTTTAGGACATAATAAATTTAAATGTGATTTTTCAAAATTATGGTCAAAATTTATTTTTTAGGACATATTTCAAAAGTTAAATGATTTATCAATTTTATTACCTTCGGTATACTACATATATTTAATAGTATCCTTGATATGACGTCATTTTTATTGAATTCAGAGCGATTTCATCATTGCCATACAGAATATAACTTATAATTAACTTTGACCATGAAACAGAATCGTCGGGGAATCCTCCAATTGTCACGCTAGGTTGCAAAAGTTTATAGCGAATTCAATTGAATCATGTACTCGTGTGCATTGGTGCATATTAAAACAAATCATAAACAAATTAACGTAAAAATATGAATTTAATATAAATATAAAAATGGATTAAACCATAAAATTCTCAATACATTTTATTGTGTTGTTAAGTAAAATTTGTATTTTATAATTTGAAATATTTGTATTTTACTTTTAAACAGATTACTAATATGTTCAACTGAGGTTCGCTATTATTAAAACATCATTCACAGCGATGCGTTCCAAAGCTTGACTTTGATAATTCCGAGTATCTTTTATCCTTGTTCAACATTCGAACGACAAGGATAAAATGATACTTGGGTTGATGTAATCGAATTTTGGAACGCAACCCAGTATGGTTAACTTGTGCATCCATTCAAGCAATTATTCCAAGCAAAATTTATTTTCACGCCAATTACAGCACGGTAGGGCATTGAAATCTCCACATACTTATTTCCCAGCTTACACATATGTAAATATAACTCTCAAAATAGACGAAAGTTGCTTTCAATATTTTAATAATCATAATTACGTTTAACAAGCAATGTTATTCATATGTACAAATATGTTATAGAAATATGCAGTGAATCAAAGTATCTCTTAAAAAATATTATTTTACGAAACATGCAATATATGAATAGCAAACAAATAAAAAAAAGGGATTTTGGTAAATCGTAGCTTAAAGAATGCAAAATAAGTAGCAAAATTTTATTCTCAAGTCAATGTCAAATAAATTTTAACGAGAACATTATAAGTTTGATTATTATTAAATGTTTAGCATTTCATAAGGGCGAGGGATACACTGATATCGATATCAATGCACCACTCGCTCTGATGAAGTGAACGACATGGTTTATGAAACGTCGGCAAATGAAGAAAGACACGGCGATAACCCGCAAACTTTCTGGTATAAGTGAAGATAATACCTGTGAAAGCTTCAAATGCGTATATATATTATAAAACTGTGTTTATATATATTATTCCATGATATATTAATTTTCTACCTATAATTGCACTTTTTATCTTTACAGTGTAGTATAAGTAAAAAATTGTGCTAAAAATACTACAAAGTAGTTCCATAAATTGATATCTTGAAAGTTTTTCATCCATTTATACTCTTCCCGATAATTTACTGTTATTTAATACATTACTAACATTACCTTACAAAATACTGTTAAAAATCACAAAATGTAATAATTGATTTCTTAAAATTTTCAAATTACATTTCATACCAAAATACAATTTTTATTAGAGATTAACTTTCATTTTTTGTAACAATTGTTTCTAATGCTTTTTTAAGTTTTAACTTTACATACATTTAATTTAATTTAATTTAATAAAGTCAGCGGCACACGATGCTTATTTTCTTACCGTATTGTGGTTACGTATGGTGCTGATATTGTCAGCACTATAGTCAATATAAAGCATAACCGTGGCTATATATTCTGCAAATATAGGTATATTTCGACTACATTTTATAGTAGCATTATTATTCAATATATTAGGAGAAATACTGCTTATACTTATATTAGTATTTATTTAATTATTTTATAGCTTAGTATTAATAGAAAGAAATAAAAAAATATAATAAAATATATTGTAAATATTGTATTGTTTGTATATTTAAAAAATGCTAAATTGCAATTTTTATCAAAGAAACACTCTGAATTATGAATCATATTTTACCTGTCGTTTGGTGCATCAATAGGACATTCATTTATATGCGGAAAATATTGTATTTGTCATATTTTAAAATAAGATTTGCGTAAATTGAGCAACATAATAATTCTTACGTATTGCCATTATAGATAAGTAATTATGAAATTATATTAATAATGTGTTAAGTCTGCAAGAAAAAGTATATTTAGCTGTCACGTAAGTTAAATGTGTATAAATCTTGTGATTTTTTTTTACGTTTACATAATATATAAACAATGTTTAAATGTTGTACATTTTGTGTATGTCGAGAGTGACATATATTTTTGTGTGTTCATATATGTACTATTTGCTGTTCCAGTTAATTTATTCAAAATGTGGAAGCAAAATTATTTTGCAACAATTTAAAAATCATTTTGAAAGCAGACTAAAGGTTGTGATGTTTTTTAAAGCATCACATTCATTCATATTATACATATACGTTTTTTATAATAACTGGACTAAATTTAATGTAATCATTTGTGGAACTCTATAATATATCCGTTTAATATTTTGAAATAAAAAAATTGTAATTATACAAATCGCTTTTTTGAAATTTTTTAATTTATTTATAAAATATATGTTTTCATTAATAAACAAGAAGAAATTTATAATGTCAAAGATTTAACACAATGTATAACAATAACAGATAATAAATATAGGAATAAGATATATTTTGCATCTTTTTTGTTTATACATATTATTGACGTAAATCTTAAATCTCTTTCTTTATCCCTTCTATTGTTTTTTAAAAATTAATATTCTGCTTCTTTTCTCTATTTTTTGACTGGAGTGTTTTTAATCAGAAAAGTTTTATGACCTAGTTAATAAAATACGAAACATATTCTATATTTATTACATATAAGAATTAAATTATTAAATCTATTTTCAAATGTAAAAGATTTACTTATATATTTTTTATAATGTGGTACATTTGTATTTTCAGGATACAGATTTATACTTAGACAAGTGAATTCATAATGTGGACATTGTGGACTATCATATTAGTATTCATCGGTTTGCTATGTACATTAATACCGTCGACGCATTCTCAAGGTATGTTTTGTATTATCTTTTCGAACCCACAGATTCCATTACAATCTCGTCAGAAGCTTTGTTCAGATTTTTCTTACAGAAAAATCCAATATATCAAAATGTCGAAGAAATACGTTTAGTTTTCTAGCCGTACACTTGCACACACACACATACCTATTCGTATTAACTTATATATATATTTAAAAAATTTATAATATGCAAAGTGTGTATGTGTGTGTGTGTATGCATTACTACAATTAGAACAAGGTACACGAATAGATAAATGTTCTCATATTATAATTTACTTACATAATACATTATCATTACGTAATAATGTCGGTATTATTATAAAATAATATCATAGTAGGTATATTAATTTATCGTGTATTGTGAAATTTTTTATATTATTTTTCCGTTACATAGACTATCGCGAAATTACAGTATTGACGTAAAACTGTACGAACACGGCCAAGGCCAGATCCTTCAAATCGAGAGAACGAGAGTTTCAAGTATGTTTGGTCATTAGTGAAGGTCGATTGTTACAACATTCTGTATCTTCTTCTTGGCAATCAGATGCTTCTGAGAAAAAAACATCATAAGTTAAGGCAATTAGAATTAGTTTGTATAATGCAATCGTAGATGTACATAAGATAATGTAAACTGACGCATATTTTAAATAAACGTTAAAAATTTTAATGAGAAATTATTTTTAATTGTTTTATTCATACTTTGAAAAAACATATAAGATAATTATATTTTCAAGAAATTAGAAGTTTTAATTAAATATAACAAAAATCTTAACTAACAGAAAATATCACAAGTTAAAACAGCAATTTTAAATAACAATTCTTTTAAATTCCATTGTATAATATTTTTTATTGTTATTTAATTAATAATAAATTATTAAAATTATTGAATTTTTTAACATACTTAATTAAAAAATAGTTTGTGATACACTGTAAATTAAATAATCAATAATACAGAAAAATAAATGAGTGATCATTACAATTTTTATATTTTATTTTCTAATATCAAAATTAATTAGATAATTCTAACCGCGTGTAATATAATTGAATCGTAATTAAATAATTTGCGGATGTGGTTATATAATAATTTACTGTTTTAAAATCGCCATTTGTACATCACTTAATATGAACAAAATGTTACGATTTAATGGAAAAAAATGTCTTATTTCATACGATAAACAGTTACGTAATTATATGTCAGTGGATTTGATATACAGAAGTCGTAGTTATGCAATAAGCAAAAGAGATCAACATTTAAATTTTACCATATATATTGTAAATTCATTAAATTCAATATATTTTTTAAAACATAACAAATCGCAAATTGGCAGTAAATAAAAATTAATAAATTTTGCTAAAAGTATCTTGAAATATTATGTAAGATGTAAAATTAATATTCTTGTAAAAAAATCTTATAAATTAATAAACTTTATTGAACTAGGGAAGAAGTTCACATTTTCTCTTTCTCTCTCGTTCTTGTAATGCATATCTGACAAAATGACAATAAATGTATCTATTTATATATATTCCATTATATATATTCCCAAATATAAAATTTTTATTATAAACGAAAATTTTTGAAGTTATATCGATGTGTACTTAAAAAAAAGGAATGTAAATTATTTTGACATATCTCGAAGAAACTTATTAATTATAAATGCTTTGTTATAGTTTGTGTATTCTTTAAATTCGAATTTTAATAGATACGTGCCGAAATCCGCAAGGACAACTTGGTACATGCATCAATATCAGATCGTGTACATTGTTACTCAATCTCCTGAAATCAAATTCACAAAATCCGGAAGTAGGCAATTTTCTCCGTGCTTCTGTTTGCGGTTATGAAGGTAGTGATCCTAGGGTTTGCTGTCCATCCAACATCAATGGCGGAAATACAGGTGATACGGGCAACGGCTTGCAAGGCAATCAAGACCATGAAGAAATTACGAACACTCAATATGGTCCTTTGTATCCACCTTACTGTGGATACAGTAATGCTACGTTAAATAAAATTGTTAGAGGCGTTCCAGCTGAATTAGGTACGAATGATTTTTTACATTATGGGAGAACATTCAAAGTCTCAACACATTTCCCGATTATTGGTCATATAACTGTTTCAGAATACTAAATTTTTTTCAAGAAAATTTATCTTAATTAATCGTAGAAAATTAAAAAAATTTTTTGTGTTTAAAATACTTTATAAGAAAACATTTTAATTTTATATTTTTTTTCTTGTAAACATATACCTACTGAAGTATTCTTTTATATGATAATCAATTGGAAGTAAATTTTTTGTTCCAGTAAATTAATCTCGAAAAATATAAATAATTATTATACGTTTTACTTCAATATAGATTGTGATAGAATGTAAAAATTCAAGAGTTTAATATGATTAAAATGTTCACACATAATTATAATAAGCACTGTGATCCAACTTTGACTGTTAGATGCTCCCTTCTTCTTGTTTGAGTTTATCACTTGTGCGGTCCTAGAAAGATTTTAATATTTGTTTAATAATGTATTATTCTAACACTTGATTATCATTGCAACCGTCGATAGAGTCTATTAATTTTACAGGTGCTTGGCCTTGGATCACCGCTCTCGGATACAGAAACTCAAAAAATCCAAACGTTCCAAAATGGCTTTGTGGCGGTGCTTTAATTTCCAGTCGACACGTACTTACCGCCGGCCATTGCGTTTATAGACGGGCGGATTTGTACAAAGTACGTATTGGAGACTTGGATCTTAATAACGACAACGACGGGGCGACCCCGTTTGAAGATTTCATTGAAAGAAGAACAGTACATCCCGAGTACAATCCTACGACTTACACGAACGATGTGGCAGTTTTGAAAACGACCCAAGAAGTACCCTTTACGCGTAAGTTTCTTTTATTCTATATATTCTATTTTGTTTTCATAATGATATAATTATTCTTTAAAGAAATAAAAAGCAACATTTTTTCTCATATATTTAGGAAAATCGATATAAAATTTATTAATTAAAGAACGAATCCCGCATAAAATTATAGAATTTTGGCCCTCGGTGAAATTGATTGAAATTTTAGTATAGTATTATAGTTCTTGACTCGCTGATCAAAAGTGTCCATAGTCACAAAGGTTAAAAATGGCTAGTTTTTTTTTTGTTATAACCGTTTAATTTTAAAGTTTTATTTTATTAATGCCTCGAAATCATTTTTGTAATAAATTAGGAGATTATTATATATGCCACTCTTAGGTATCACCCTTACCTTTACTTCTTCTCTCATCACCATCTCATTTCCATTTTCCCAGACACATACGCCCGCACGTGCATTTTAATATCTGTTCATGTGTCGATCTGTAATTTTCAAAATTAGATTAATAAATATTATCAGCTCATATAAAATCAAAAATTATAAAAGTTAAATATACCTCCCAGGTCAATAATGAATTTCTCGCATATAAACGAAGAATGGATTATAACAGGTTTTTTCATCGTTTAAGTAAATTGACTACCGCCATCGAATATTGGAGCGATTGTATTGTTATATGAAAGTTTGCGACTGTTGAGGATTTAATTTTTATATTTATTAGAGAATTTACAATGTTTTATAATTTTTATTTGTTGTTGCGTCTGTGACATGTAAACGGTTTAATTTGAGTGGGAATTTTATTGCAGCTGAGGATGACTTTGTAAAGTCGAAACGTTCTGCGCTAATTTTATCGATTGTAATAAATTTGTTTAATATTAACAACTAATATAGCTCATTATTGACCTGGGAGGTATATTTAACTTTCAAAATTAGATATTATTTTAGCATATAAATTCTTTTCTCTTGTCGCAATATAAATTAATATTTTGTAAATATTTAGGACTACTTCATCCCATTTGTCTTCCGGTGGACGATTTTATGAGAAATAAAAATTTAGAGACGACATATCCTCTTGTTGCTGGTTGGGGATCAACTTATTTCCGTAAGTAATGAGAAATAAATTAAACCTTGCCTAATTATAATCTAATGATAAATATAAAAATACTCTTTTTTTGTTTTAAAAAAAACGCTAAAGTTTGCTACTGCTATTTCTGTTTTTCAGACGGACCAACGAGCAGTCACCTTTTGCAAATACAAGTTCCTATACGTACACAGGAACAATGTAAAAAATCATTTCAGAATTTTCCGACAACAGTGATTGACAACCGCGTTTTATGCGCTGGATATGCTCGAGGTGGAAAAGATGCTTGCCAGGTGAAAGAAAAGAATTTATGAAATCATAATAAGCAATTAATAAAGATTTATTCTTTCTCTTTCTCTTTCTCTCTCTCGCTCTCTCTCTCTACTAAAAAATAGTTTAACAAATAAAAATTTTAAATATTGACAAAGAATTAAGAATTTTTTATTTATATATAACTACATATTTTAATTAATTAAATTGGTAATATATTTTATATTTAATTTAAATAATTTTTAAATTAAGTTTTGTCTTCTTAATTATTATATCACATTATTATTTCAATATTACTTTTATCATAAAATTACTTTACAAGTATTTTTTATGTAATTCTGTCAATTTCTAGATATGTATATATAATATACAAGACAGAGAGAGAGAGAGAGAGAGAGAGAGAGAGAGAGAGAGAGAGAGAGAGAGAGAGAGTTTATCTTGGAGGACATCCTGCATATTAATATATAAATATGATGCAAGGATGTAATGATTTCTAAAACTAAAATTTAAAGAGAAAGAAAGAGTTTCTAATAATTGTGTGTGTGTGTGTGTGTATGCTAGATAATCTAATAAATCATAAGTAAAAGTAATATCAATGTCATAATTCTATTTAATAAAATAACTATGTAATACATATATTTATTTTTATATTACATTTTAACATTTATGTTGAATGTACAATTAATATATAATGATGTTATAATACTCTTAATTATTTATTAAATAAATATAATTTTATTAATACGTTTCTCTTACGGTGCGAAATGATTTTCAGGGTGACAGTGGTGGACCAATGATGTCTCCTGATTCTCGAAATCAACAAACATTTTATATCGTTGGAGTAGTATCATATGGTTTCAAATGCGCTGAGCCAGGTTTCCCAGGTGTATATACAAGAGTTACGACTTTCCTAGATTTCATCACAAGTCAATTGGTATAGATATCCTTCTATTAAAAAATTGAAATTTTTGGTTTCTTTGTTAATGTTTTACATTAATTTTGAAAATTGCATACATATATATTTATATTTATTATAGCATGAAAAATTTCCTCTGTTGTATTATAGACAGAATAAACTACTTTCCATTTCATTTCTAACTCGTAAAATATAATTCCAAGCTTAAAAAGTCGCTAAATTGACTAAACAAAACCTTTTTATAAATAAAATATTTTTTTACTTTTAATTAATCAATCAGATATTGAATCTATTTGGGAAAAGGATATCAACATATAAATAAACGGAATAAAACATCAATTAATTTAACTAATTAGAAAATATAAATTTATACAATTAAATGAAAAATTATATATATATGTATATATTGAATTATATATATAATGAATTCTCTCATGTACTGCATATATTTAATATACTATATAGTATTAGGTATCTGTACACATCCGTATAACATTTATCCGTTTTGAAGTAAAGAGGGAAGTAATTCTTATTAAAAATGTTTCAAACGAAAGTTGTATAGTCTAAGTAAGAAATAATTCAAATATTTATATGTAAAAAATAATAAATATAACAATAAGAAAAATGACAAAATTAATTTAAAAAAAAAAACGGATTTTTTAAAGAGAGTAAGGTTTATAAAATGTCATGTCTGCGCGTTATTATTACTCACTTTTGACTTTAGAACTGTAGAACGATAACAGCTTATTTATAAGTCTATTTTTTATTCCTACACTAGTGTACACAGTATAATAAATTGAAATGAAACAAATTTGTTTCATTTAACTTATCGCACAATTCAGACAGTGTAGGACTAAAAAATAGACCTTTGTAAACGGATAAGTCAGTGCTTCTCAAATTTGTTGATAGAGGGCAATGATGACTAAACGTTACTCGTGTTTAAAATACCTTCACTACTGTTATAAATAGGTTATCGTAGCGTACAAATTTTAAGATCGTACTTCACAGGATCAGTTCTGTAGGAGTTGATCTCATTCTCCCTCCCTAACATGGGAGTTGATGTAACCACGACGATGAGGAATAGTCCTCTTCTCTGAGCGTGAGAACGACATGAATTCTCGACGTGTTCGAGAGCTCTGTCATCAATGATCGTTCACTCTCTGTACTCAGTGTAGAGGGGATGGGAAGTAGGACTTTCTGAGTGGTTACAAATCATAAGTAAAAAATAAAAATCGTATAAAAAGGAACTAACAATTATTTCTGAATTGTTGCGTAGAATAATTAAATAATAAATATGCAATAAGAGAAGCCTAATTGGTGAAAGAGGCCGGTATATAAAATATGTAAGCAAAAATAGTTTATAAATTTATCATCGATAGTCGGTTATGTTAATATTCTTCAATTATCTGCAAATATCAATTATTTTGCATACAAAAAAAATCAAATTTATGAAGTTTTAGTAGAATATAAGAGTATATACTGAGACAACAAATAGAAGTAACACATTATTTGCAATGCCGTTATCGTTTATACAGTTTTTTTTTTTTGATAATGGACTGATAACGATATTTTTTTTAAATGTATAGTACAGTTACATTTTTTTTGTAGCAGCACTGACGATTAAAGACGACTAGCCCTGAATAAATTTTCGTAATTTTAAAACAGCTTTATGATTAGTTATGATTAAATGACATAATAACCAATATATTATAGAGTATTTATTATCAAAAAAAAATTTTTATGAATATCAATCTTTCAGTTTCATGGAAATGATGCCATGTATTACAAAATTTATTGTGAAAAATTTTTATTCAGATTGTGTTTTAAGGCCGAAAATTTAATTGGCGCGAAGTTTACAGAACGATTAGAAAAGAATTAAATATATACATGTATATATATATATATGTATATAAATTTGCTCTGAAATATTATTATGTACGTATATAAAGCTTTTTTATACTGAAAAAGCATTTTGCTTCTTTATTTATATTTAACATTATTATATATTGATAATGCCATTATTGTTTATTTTGCTTTTATTAATATTTCAATAAAAATATTGTAAAAAATTTCTTGACCAACCTCATTTCAGCATTAGAAAAGTAACAAAAAAGTAATAAATCATTACTTTATAATAAGAAACGTTAACACAGTAACGAATTATTTTGGAAATCAATGACTAATATAAAGGTAACTTTATGTAGTTATTGTTTCCTTGACTCGGTAACGACTAACGAGATAATATTTTTAAAAAGTAATTTTTCGTTTTTTGCTTGGAGATAAACAAAACTTGTTGCAAAAAATATATATATGTGAGATATACCAGAGATCTGTAATGCTTTTCGGAAAAAATTGAAAGTTTTAAAAGTTTTGTGTTATAAGTGACTTTATCCAAAGTCTGATTAACTTATAATTGACGATTAAATTCAATCAGTAGCATTGTACAAAATAGAATTTCTAATATAATTTTGTAATCTAATTTCTTTTATGTATAACAATAGGAAAAATTAATTTAATATTGTAATATAAAATTTTAAATTTAACAAAAGATAGCATTATTCATCAAATTAATCATCGAGAAATTAATTAAAGTTTATAAATTAAAAGCTTTATTGGTTGTTATTGTTACAAGTAAATAGTACCCTTTACAAGAAATGCAGAATGTATCTCTGGTAAGTATAGTATGTGTAGGTAAAACAAAAATTGTACCAATTACTATGCTTGGTATTCATAATGGATTCTTATTTTAAGACCATCTTACTTAATAAGACAGCTTTAAATATATCGTTCTATTTTAATTTTTGAGCTACTTACCAATATTGTTTTTTAAATATAAGAATTAACCATGAATAAAAGCTTTTATATTGTAAAATTTTGTAAGTCATAACCAGTTTTTTATCAATTAGTGCTTTCATATTTACTCACGCATTGAAACTATTAATTCCAGTTTCTTCTGCATTCATCTGACAGCAAACAATAATATAAACCACATTTTTTATTATTAAATAGATAGAAATGTACTCCAGACAATGCACCTCGACAAATTAAATTGTTGCAGGAAGAAAATTCTTGAAAAAATATCTAAGTTATAAAGATATTTGTGATTTATCGTTCCACATAATATTTTTGAAATACAAAAAATAATTAAAACAGACCAATTATAGATTACAGTTACCGATAAACAAGGCTATTTAATCATATCCATAGATCAGCTTTTAAACTTTATCTATATTTCGAAAATTACTAGAGCTATTTAACTGTAATAACTATTTAACTTAAATAATAAGTCAAATTTTAAATTTTACTTATACGTAGAAAACTACTGTACAGAACAATATGTGGCTCTTATCTGACAGCAAACAACAAACATAATTCTATTGTTAAATGAATAGTGACGTACGATAGATAAAATGTTTCGAAAAATTTGTAATTGCAGCAAAATATCGTAGCAAAATATCGCTTAAGAAAGTTCTTAAAAAATAAATTATAAAAATTTTTGCGATTTATCGTTCTGTATCGCAAATATTTTTATAATTTATATTTTAATTCCAATAGCAGTTTTCACAATTCTACAGTTTTATAGAAAAATAAAAAAAAATTCCGCATTTTTTATATAGAATTTGAAGATACGGCGTGCTAACTTGACGAATCTAACACAATAATTTTCCTCTAAAGTGTAAGAAAACGACAAATATAATACCACTTTTAGCAACACAGTTCCTGATAGTTCTAATAAAAATTTACAGATATATCCACTTTGTAAATAAAATTCCAATAATTACCCATGTTTGTATGTCTTAAATTACATATAATACATAGAAAACAAACTGATACTTAAAGAAGGTGTTATGCTAATTGTTTATAGCAGATATAGCGAAAGTTTTCATTAGTCCTCGTTTAGTTTTTAATCATTTTTAAACAGAGGGTCGTTACGTAATATTTCAGAAATATTGAGTTGCAACATAACAAAATGTTATAGATTTAACGTTGAAAAGACATTGCTGAAATGTTTGATATTCGTTGAAGTGATTGATTCTGCAGATATTACAATTCAACATTTACGACTAAAAGAAAAACGTTTCTTTGATGTTTGAAAACATTTAAATTAATTAATAATAAGTTAGAGAGAAGCAAACTAAATAAATAAACTTACGGCGCTTCTCTTACAAAAAAAAATATTGAAATAATACAACTACATGTATTTAATTTAAATACATGTAGATTTTAATTAAATATAAGTATAGCTTTCAATTAGATTAGATATGTAACTACGCGCATAGATTATCAAATTTACAACACAATCAATAAATAAATATTAATCAAGAGACACAATAGTGTCTGGTGCCAACTGAACGCGAAGCGCAAAACAGTACCATATCCTTACGCAAGTTGATAAGTTGCGACGAGCACCTGAGATTATTAGATCTCTCAATAAACGGCTGAATTTATCAACTTTTAAGTCAACACTTTTAATATATAATATAATAATATATATGTATATATATGTAATGATATATATAGACTTATATAAGAGATATTTAACATTACAAAACGCGTGATATCTCAATAAAATTACTTTTTTTAAAAAAAGAAAAAAAGGCGCCAAGTGTGTATACTTGCCTCACAAAAAACCATTACATATATTATTACAGTATATAAAAAATGAAATAAAATCTTTAAATTGTACTAATTGTGAAAAGAATATATTTTCTTGCCACATATATAACATATACTTTATTTCAAAAAGTAAAAGTACAAAAAAATTAGCTGCAAGAACCTGAAAATATACAATAATAAAATGATTATTAAATAATACTAAATACATAATGCTGCGTATGCAATGTGCTGTGCGCAATAATGTCGTATGTGCAATACGCTGTATACAATATAATGTTCTGTGTGTAAATGAAGCTGTAGGTAATCGTTTTGTAGGCAAACGAAGCCCTTCCGCGTTTTTTGAAATACTTATAAAATATCTCAGACCGAATTTGTCTAATATTCGAGACAAATATTATTTAAAAACTTAGTTGTAACAAAACTTCAGTTTTGATAAATCTTATCTTAGTACAATTATTGCGAAATGTTCGTCAAATTATGTATTTCGTTATCGATCATTTCCTGAATTGCAATATTTCCACTTTACATTTTGCTCGAGATAACAAAAAATAAATGTAATGTTATTTGTTAATTAGACTGTTAATTACTTCCTCATTGTTACTTCTTTGTTTATTATCAAGCAAAATTTTTATCAATTTATGACGTCCTTCGTTATTGACCATTTCCTGTATTATAATGTTTCCACTTTGCATTTTGTTTGAGATAATAAAAATAAATATAACGTTATTTGTTAATTAAACTGTTAATTACTTCCTCATTATTTTTTTTTTGTTCATTATAAAACGAATATAAATTGAAGGGGAGAAATTCAGAAGTTCGAGAACAGTATTCGTCGTTAGAACTAGTGTTGATCTACCGACTGCTGCCATCCCGAGTTTTCTTTTCGTTTGTGTGTAAGTATGTGTGACATTAATGTAATAATTCCTTACTTAGTAAGTATGTCGAGAGAAAGTTTTTTAAATGAAAAAATTAATTTGTTTAATACTAGTAACAAAAGCATCCGAAATAATTCCTACATTCTTCTGCTATACCGTCTTTATTACATCATTGATAGCAACTATTAAAGGACATATCTCATCGATTAAACTCAAGCTCAAAGTATTAAAAATATCCAGCAAAGCAACAAATTTTTCATATAATAAAGAAAAACTTATCACTATTGCAGCAAAAAAAAAAGAATTTATCATTAAAGCTAATAATTTCATAAATTTACATAATTGTGTGTTTCTCTTCTGTCTTTTAATCGAAAACCCCCGAGATGATTCAAAACTTTCTGGGTGGTACTCATAATCCATTCTTATTTTAAGACCATCTAAGTAATATCTCAAGATCCTTATGCCCTTTGTTTAACTTATAAATTTCACTTATTATTAATTTAACTAAGAAATTTAACTTATTATATTTTCATAATTAACTTATAACATATCTCAAGTCTTTCAAATATAAGATTTGATTATGAATAATGGTTTCTGTATTTATATAGCGTTACAAACAAATGTTCGATTCCAAATTTTTACTTATTATAATACAAAAGTATTATCTGTATGGCTGAACTAATGTACATACAATCAGCAACTAAAAGACAGAAATACTTTTTTTTAAATGGATGTCGGAACTCAGCCTATTCTCACCGAGCGATTAATTTTTACTTTTGGATCCTTAAGTAATAACTAATTACTCGGTGAGTAGATTACATTACAAAACCGTTTGAGAAAAATGTTGCAATCTTTTAATTGCTGCCTATATATTTTGTATTTAAAATGAAATAGATATATATTTGAAGTATAGCGAAATCATGATAAAAGGTTTAAGTGCAATCTAGTATTAACAAAGAATAGAACTCGTGTTCTACTAAATTGGCAAAATTTTAGCTTTAAGAGTTTGTTTTTGAAATTATATTACGCAATGATTTTTAACGCAACTATAAGCTATTAAAATAAATGCTCCATTTATTTAACCGCGGTAACTCAGTAATAAAACATCTTACACTGTAAAAAATAAAATGTTAATTTTAACTCAAAGACGTTGAGACATGCAAAAATGTTAACATTAACATTTTTGAATGTCTCAAAAAATCCACTCAACGTCTTTGAGTTAAAATTAACATTTTATTTTTTACAGTGTAAGTACATTTTTTTGAAACAATTTTATATAGAAGACTGTGTCTTCATGTAGAAAGTTTAAAATTTTCATAAATTTTTTTTAGTTATGTGACAGATCTAAAAGTGAAAGAAAAATAATTCCCATTTTAATCAATTCGTAGTTTTACACATGTAAAAATCACATACTAAACTCACAGAAACCTAAAAAACATAGTGACCTTTTGAAAGTAGAGCATTTAAATTTAAAGAAATTCTTTTTATAATTTAAATTTTATTCATTTTTAATAAAGGTTCAGCTGTTTGAATTTTAAATCAAAATACTGTTTGCTATGAATTTTTGTTCCAACAGAATACAGGTGTATTTTTTATCGATAAATCTAGATTTTTTCTTCTTGTCTCTCTTCATCCATTAATTTTTTAAATAGAAAATTTCACTGCCTTTTTAAATTTGTTTTATTTTCTTGTTTATAATTGAAAAAATATAGAAATATGTATGATACAGTACATTCTGTATCCTAAAATAAAATCCATATTTAATGTAAATTCTATTTTAGGATGCAAGTGTCTTGTTATAAATTTTTGTATTAATAAATAACAAACTATTTGCGTTTTTATAGGATATCTAATCGATCCACATGATGAAGACCATTATATTAGTACTCGTCGGTTTGCTGTATACATTGATATTACCATCTTCTGAAGGTATACTTTTACAATTTTTTTGAACCTGTACGATTTTATTTTTGTCAGATGTTTTGTTTTTCTTCATAGATGAATCCAACATACCAAAATACCAATTTTTTAAATTATATAATTGTATTTTCACAAATTTGATATAATAAATTGTAATTAGTTTTGAAAAAATGGTATTGTGCTCCAATTACCGTGCTGACATTTTGGCAGCTTTCGTTTTGCACTATTGTTTTGATATTTTTTTCGATCATGTAGATTAATTTATCACCTAAGTTTTTTTTACATTATTTTCCTATTACGCTACTTTTTCGTTAGCTATTGAAAAATTATAACAGTTTTATAAAACTGTTTAAACATGAACAAGTCACATCTTTAATTAAATCAAAAGTTCGAGAGTTTTAAAATGTAGTTTAGCCTTTGGTAAAAGTAATTGGTTATTATGTTATAATCTGTACCTTCTTTTAGCTTTGATTTGATACTTTTAAGAAAAGCATCGAATCTTCCCTTCTTCTTCTTTGTTTTTTTTTTTAAACAAAGAAAGAAAAAGGCGAATAAGAGTCAAAATAAAAAAATATGTTACATGTTTTTATTTTTATTTTGACTCTTATTTTCCTTTTTCTTTCTTTGTTTTTGAATACTAAGAGTCCTGTATATATTCTTAATTTTTTTTTTTAATATATATCTAAATCTTTGACACGATTGTGTCAGTAAACGTATCTGTCTATTTAGTGTATGTTGCCACGTGTTTAGTGTTAAAATATCAGGAACTAAATGTTCTTGGAAATGAATATTACATATGCAATCAATATTGTTCTCGAATTTTGTGTGAATTAAAACATTTATAAGACCATACTTCAACGAACGTTGAATGTTTCTGCAATGCAGTCTTATCAAATTAAATCCGTATTTTATAATATTACAATTTAATGTTTTTGATAAGCTCATTCAATATTACCATGATATCATTTGTAATGATGGTGTTGATAAAATACACTATCAAAATTTTCAAATCAGTGTCAAAATTTATTCGCAAATGATATATAACATACACAATATTAATATATGATACACGTTTAACATTGTGTACAAATATATTTGAAAAGAATCACATATTATTGACGATCTCTATAATCAAGTGATAAAGTATCCTAGAATTGCAACTATATCTATATATTTACTGTAGTGTTCACGTAAAATATTGTCTGCGAAAAACTGCAGCTAATGACCGGATTTGTTTACGGTCGGATTGTGCATTGATTTGAGTGATGCGAATGGAGCATACAGCGTATCACGGAAAGAATTATATCTTAAAATTTATCCTGAAAATATAGTAATCGTGGGACAATATTATATTTCGTAGAATTTTTATGTAAATCTCTCACATTCATTAATAAAACTATGTACATTAAAATATAAAATAAGTATGATTAATTTTACTGAAGTGCATGGTAAAAATCTTTAAATTTATTGTATTGTACCATAATTATATAACTATATTTTCAGGATAAATTTTAAGAAATCCTTCTCTCCGTGATACTATATTTTAAAACGTGCGGATACATATAAGCATGAACAAAGACACTTTATAGGGATGGAAAGAAAGAAGAAAGCTGTGAATTGTATGCATATATGTAATACTACATATATTATATATTATAAACAATAATACATTATTACATATATTATATATTACATATATGATTGTATGTTAGAAGAATGCGAGGAAGAATGTTAGTGAGAATGTGAAGAGTAAAAGGATTTAATGTAAAGCAAAAGTTCCTTAGCTTTAGACCATGGCTAAATCAATCAATAAAAATTGTTGTTATTATTATTATTCTTATTAATGTTGTTGTAGGCAGTGCTATCGGATTGAAAAGCGTTCGAGATTTTCGTCAAATTAAGAATTTTACATCCAATGTACCTGAACACAAATACGGTAATGCTTTTATAGACAGAATCGTTAATGGCACACCAGCTAAAAAAGGTATGAGTAATTTTTGCATTTTTGAAAAAACAGTCAAATAATCATAGTCGATAATTATTCTCACATTCAACAATGAAGTTGATTTCTATGCCTGCTCCTTAATACTATTTTATACTACACTATTGCTATTACCTATTTTATACGTCGTCTGCAATGGCAGTAGTAGACGACGTATAACATATTAAATTTTTCTATGGCTTACTTCTTTGTATCTACTTGAGTTGATAGAAACAGACTTTTGTAAATCTTTGCGAGTATTATTGATTATCTGATAATCGGTTATTCCCCGATGCTTTGTGTCCGGGGTATAAAAAAAATAACCTTATTCTTTTTAATGAAACACATCTGATATGTGCAAAATTGGATCATTCATTTGATCTATTATTAATAATCGTTCATTTGAATATTCGCTTTTTCACAATCGTTCTTGCCTGACTTCGCCATTACTGGATTTAAAGTTGTAACTTACTTTTTGATTGTTTATCAAATAATTGTTTCAGGATACTTATTATGGAACAAGGTCGCAATGGATTCCGATCGGAATTATTCCGTTTTCCCTAAAATACACAATAGAAATCTAAGAAATAATTGAACTATTCCGATTGGAATCCATTCCGATTTTGTTCTATGATATAGGTACCCTGAATTGAAAACTTTTTACAAAAAAAATTAATTTGTCTCAATTTATATAGAAACTTAAAAAAAAAACTTTTTTTCGTTTTTAAAATACTATGCAGGTGTATTTTTTATCAATACTATATTTTTTCTTGCAAAAATGTTGCAGCGTCCTTTTGTATTGCAAATAGTCGAAAGTAAAACTTTTTTAGTAAATTAATTTCCAAAAATATAAATAACTTACTATACATTTTATTTTTAATATTATAGATTTCTGACAGATTTATAAAAATCAATATTTCAAAAATAAAGTATATTTATTTACTTATAAAAAGTTAGTGTATAAATGTAGTTCATTAGTATTTGTTCCAATACTTAATTATTATTGTTGAGGTTATCGAGTAATTTTGCAGGTAAATATACTTCGCTGGTTGCTCTTGGAGCTTATTTTGATGAATCTGTTTTTGAGGAATTTGGTGCTGAAGTATTAGATATGTATTATCCACCTGAGTGGTTCTGTTGTGGTGCTTGGATTTCCCGAACACATGTGCTCACCGCCGGTCATTGTTTAAGTGAAGATTTGAACGTAATAAGTACCACCGACATGGATTTCAACATGCCACCAACAAAACAGATTCAGGATTGGGTTCTACGTCGTATCCCACATCCGCAATACAATCCAAATACCCAAGAAAACGATGTGGCGATTATAAAATCGTGTCACGAAGCAGTATTTACAAGTAAATTTTTATTCTATATATTATACAAATTTGTAAATTCAATAAGCATAAAAACCACGCACAAGATCTATTTTGTGAGGACTTATTAAAGTCCGTATTTTATTGTTAAAATATAAGTTTATCTTTAAAGATAAACTTATATTTTAACAATAAAATACGGACTTTAATAAGTCCTCACAAAATAGATCTTGTGCGTGGTTTTTATGCTTATTGAATTTACAAATTTGTTTTTTATTTAAACCACATTTTATAAAAGCGTTATATATTCTATATATTATATTTAAATTCTATAAATATAAATTTGTTTTCAAAGTTATATTTGATTTTCAATAAAATTTATTAAATAATGAAATTTTATTTGAGATAAAAAATAAAAAATTAATTAAAAAATTAATTAAAGGTTACCAGGATTTTTTAAAGAGGGATCTCTTGTGTAAGCGGTTCAAAAAATCGAAAAATTGTTTTGCGTTAATCAATATAGTAGACGTGTGTGAAAAGTATATTTACAAAGTTATAGAACAAAATACAAAATTTAAAAAAATCTCAGTTCATTTCTTCATTTCTTGCGCTCAACTTTAATCTTAATAAGAGATCCTTTACTTGATCTTGTCTATATAGGTTTATTTTCTGCAGTTGAACTCAATTTTGGTGCAATCTGGTGCAAAAATACGAAACAGGCCTGATGTTAACATAACTTTTATTTTTCAGTATCAATAACTTCAAATGCGTTTTACTCAAAACTACTTTTTTTAAATTGAATAATGGAGCGAAAGATTTTTCAAATATTATTGATCAATCAAGTTGTACCAGTGCAATACATATAGTTTATCAAATTTATTCATCGATGAACCTATAAAATTAAAAAATTAAATAATCAACTTAATCAACAAATTTTATTTCATAAGTAGAATAAAAGTTTTTGTAAAATCATAATTTTTTAAAACTTTTTTCTCAATTTTTAATCTTTTTCTTACTTTCTTGATTTATCTAAAAGGTAATTTCATAAAGAAATGACAGAAAATCTTTAAAAAGATTCGCTACACGTTGTTTCGTTAAAAAAATTTCATAAAATTATCCTTTTTTTAGAAGGACTTACATGTGGTTCCCTCCTTAAAGGATTTATTATATTAAATTTTTAATTACTATCCTTTCTCTATTAAATTTAAATTAGAATGATATGATTACATAAAAAAAAATACACAAACTTGTAGAACTCACTTCACATTAATCATATCTTTTCTATAAACATACAAGTAAATTAAAATAAATATTAAATTTATAAAGTCGATATTTTTTAAATTACTCTATGTATTGAATTATGTATTACTATAATATTCAAAATTAAATATTACATATTTTAGGACAAAAATTCTTTTGTCTTATCGATAGATTAATGACCTTTGGAAACTTTCAGAACAACTTCAGCCCATTTCTCTCCCACTCGACAGTATGATGAAACAAAATTTTGTAGGGGAGAATGCTTCGATAGCTGGATGGGGGCATACTAAGTACGGTAAGTATAATAATTATTTATCGTCAATAATTTGTGGAATGAATTGATTCTTGCTTAACTATTATTTAATAATAAATACATAATAACCTTTTTATTCAAAAAATGCTGAAATTTGCTATAACTGTATTTACTTTTTAGGGGGCCAACAAAGTCCTATACTTTTGGAAGCAGTAGTTCCTGTAATTACGGTGGAAAAATGCGTAGCTGATTATCAGAAAATGCCGAATTCAGTCGTTAACAACAAGAATATATGCGCAGGATATAGTCAAGGTGGAACAGATACCTGTCAGGTGAGAGGAAGAAATAGAAAAGTTGTGATAAAAAAATTAATGAATGTTTTGCGCATCACATCTTTACTTCTCTCTACATAGTTTAATAAACAAATAAAGAAATTAATA